CGTGGGGGCGGCGGGCCGCGGGCCCCCGGGCGGCCCGGGGTCGTCCAGCAGGCGCTGCGGGCCGCCGTGCGCGCCCGCGTCCCCGCCCGCGCCGGCCGAGTACAGCTTGCCGTTGCTGAGCCGCAGCTCGCGGACGGCGCGCAGCGACAGCAGCGCCCGGCTCGGGCCCGGGCGCCGGCGCCGGCGGGAGCGCGAGGTCTTGCGGCAGGACACGGCGTGGCGCAGCTCCTGCAGCATCTCCTGGCACAGCGACACCTGCGGGCGGCGGCACGGTCACCGCGAGGCTCCGCGCCCTCCCCTCCCGCCCCATTTCTGTCCCCACAGTATTGCAAGGTGTATTCACTGAGCGCCAGGCACTGATCCGGGCACCCGAGTTACCACAAAGAGTGACACAGAACTCCTAGTCCTTGGGCCTTGGGAGGTCAGTGGTGCTGGGTTCCATCCCCAGTAACAGAGAGAGTTAAAGATATAAAGATAGATAGATAGATAGATGGATGGATGGATAGACTGAGAGATAGATAAATGAGAGATAGATGATAGAGAGATGAGAGATAGATGATAGATGAGAGATAGACAGAGACAGACAGACAGACCGACTCAGCGCTCCTCAAGGTTGCAGAGACTGCAAATGACACATCAGCATTCACACGGCTCAGAGAAGTGCACGAGGAGGCAGTGTGGCCAGCGGGTGTTGCCCTGGAGGCAGGCCGGGTGAGGACACCCTGGCTGAGACCTTTGTGTATGGCTGGAGGAGCCTCATGACACAGGCCCCAGGAGGAGAGCGGCCTAGGCAGGGACCCAGGCAAAGGAGCTAAGGTGGGGCCTGGCTGGGAAGGAATGGAGGGGGAGGCGGCGAGGCCAGCGCAGCAGGGCCATTAGATGGCTGCGGCCTTTACTGCAGGTCTACTTGAGCTGTGCTCAGGGCAGACCGAGGGAGGCCAAGCGTGAGCAGGGAGCCCCGCAGCGGATGTAGCCCTGTTGCAGCAGGCCGACGGATGGGAGAGGCTCCAGGTCACCCTGGGAAGGCAGGGCCCCCGGTGCTGAGGAAGGCTGGGCAACAGGGAGGAGGGACAGACAGCGCCCACACTTGGCCGAGACTGGAGACCTGGCTCTGCCCCAGGGGTGGGGACAGTGTAACTCTGGACACTGGGCATGATGCCATGTTACTAAGACACCCCTGGGGGCAGCAGAGAGGGGGCTGGGCGTGGTAGCGCATCCCGAAACCCCAGCCATTTAGGAGCTGAGGCAGGAGGATCATCGTAAGTTCAAGGCCAGCGGGGGCTACATAACAAGACCTTGTCTCAAAACTCCACACCGGGCCTGGTGAGGTGGTTCAGCCCCAGAGGCTGGCGACACAAGTTCCATCTCTGTAACCCACATGGTGGAGGGACAGAACTGACTCCTAAAGCTGACCTCTGACCTCCACATTCACATCCAAAGTCACAGCTTAATAAGCAAAACTAAAACAAACCAACAAACCAAAAGCAGACACTGAATCTTGGGGTGGGGAAGGAGAGTTCTGGCATGGACTCTCCGAGCCACGCCCCTGGTCCTGTGACCCTGACATTCCATCTGGCTCTAGTGCTGGGATGTGGCCAGGGTCATGACTTCCCTCTTGCCTCGCTCTGGGCACTGGCTCTGGGGTGAGAGCTGCCCAGGCCGGAGTGCACTTGAGCAACCCCGAGAGGCCTCCTTCGAGGAACCGAGGGCCTCCCGCCAGCTGCCGCTAAGTGTACGCGGTGCTTTAATCCCTGTCTCAGGATGTCCCAGGACCTGGCAGGCTGGTGGAGAGCTGTCCCTCTCAGAATCAGCCATGTTTTAGAGACCGAAGGGCCGAGCTCCCTTCCCACCCAAACCAAACTGTAAGGGGTCAAGAGAGGCCGAGGGCTGCAGACCTGTGACCCAAGCTTCTTAGGAAGCTGAGGCAGGAGGGTTCCGAGTTAAAGGCCATCCTAGGCTAAGGGTGAATTCAAGGCCAGAAAGGACAGCACAGTGAGGCCCTGTCTTTCAATAAAAAGTAAAAAGTTGGCTGCGATAGCACATGCCTGTGATCCCAGCACTCGGGAGGCAGAGGCCAGTGGAGCTCTGTGAGTTCCAGGACAGCCTGGTCAACAAAGCCAGTCCAGGACAGCCAGGGCTACACAGAAACACTGTCTTGAAAAACAAACAAAAAAGAGAGTGAGGATACAGCTCAGAGGTAGAGCGAGCTCTTGCCTAGAGTCTATCAGTGGCAGACATTTGCCTGGCACACATGTGGTCCTGGGCTCTGTCCTCAGTACCACACATACAAACAAAACGAAACAAACCACAGTCCCCACCTTCTAAACCCACCACAGGATCCAGACCAGCCAGTCCCTCCTCTGCCCCTTCTCATGTCCTAGATTGTCTGGTCCCTTCTCCGATGTGTGTAGTCCCTGCCCTGCCTTTCCTGGGGAAGCCATATGAAGGCTGGCCCAGCCCCTAACCCCCCCCTGCTTCCCCTCCTCACAGTGGCGCTCCTCTCAGGACCGCAGGGAGCAGAGCCACCTCTTAACAGCACGACAGGGCACAGTCTTCCAAGTGTGAGGCTACCCCTGCCGTGCCACCCCCTAAGAGGCGGAGGCCAAGTGCGGCAGGCTCCTGCACCAAGGCGCTACGCTTGGTCCGTCTGTCTCCGCACAGGGTCTCGGCGTGGCTGAGGCTGGGCTCAGATCACCATGTAGAGGAGGACAGCCCTGAACTGCTGACCCTGCGCCTCCTCTGCCTCCTGCGCGCGCCGCACACCAGCTGCGCCTTTAGGTTCAGGCTCCCACTCAGCCAAGGTCCTCCGCACCCTTCCGTGGCCCTGACTTCTCACCTCGCCGGCTCTCCTCGGCTCTCCTTCCCTCCTTGGTCCTTGCTCACAAACGGATTCCCTGTCCCATTCTCGGCCTGTCCCCGGGCATATCTTAGCTCCTCTCTTACCTCCTGGCTCCCCGAGCCTCTCCCCATTCCCTGCCCCTCCCCTTCCTTCATCCAGGTCGCTACCATCCACCACTTTGGACCCTTAACATCCCCGGGGTCTCCCCTGCTCCGGCCCTGGCCACGGTCAATGTCCTGTCCTCACCTCCTCCGACTCTGCTGCCCTCCGCGTGGACCAGATGAATTCCATGACGGCCACGAAAACGGCGATGATGAGGCCGCAGATGAGCACGACGAAAATCCCCCCAATGTTCTCCATGCCCAGACCTGCGGTGGGGGGGGTGTGTGTGGGTGTGGGCCGCGCCCCAGGGCCCTGGGCAGGAGAGGGGGGGGCGAGGCGGCCCTGGGGCCCTGGGCAGGAGAGGGAGGGGGCGAGGCGGGGCGGGCGCGCCCAGGGGTTGGGCGGGGGGGGGAGGCGGCTGACCTTTGGCCCTGTGGTCCTCCTCCTTGGGGCAGCGGCTGCCCTCCCACCACTTGCGCTTCAGGATCTCCAGCCTGTTGTTCTCCTGGAGCTGCAGGATGGCCAGCGTGATCTCATCCCGAAACGGGGAGCCTGGGGGGCACACAGGGTCACCTCGGGACAGAGCCCTGCTCAGGGCCTCCGCTTCTGCCAGGGGCGCCTTTCCCTCACCTCAGGCTGCTCGCACAGCGGCTCCCCTCTGGCCCCTTCACTGAGAGCCCCCCTCCCTGTCGGCACCGGGCGGCCTGCTGCACAGCTCTGTGCCCACCCCGAAGGGCGCTGCAGCGGTCCTCTGCGCGGGTCCCGTCCTCCTGCCTCTCACAGCCCTCTTCCCTCACGCCCTCCCGTTGGGATCCCGTGATCTCCAAACACCAGCAACGTTTGGAGACAGACTGCTGTCCGGGTTTCCAGCGCTGAGCACTGGAAGTGTGCCCCAGCACAAACGGCCCCTCTCCTTCCTGCTTCCTCTCAGTACCTGCTCTGGGCTAGGCCGCAGGCTTGGTGTGGAGAGCATGAGGCAAAGAACCCAGGTTCCGGCCGGGCTTGCCGCTCCACGCGCAGTGCGCATCTCGCTAACACGCGGGAGGCGGAGGCAGGAGAGCACGAGGTTAAAGGCCGCCTCCATCCACAGCCTGAGGACCGGCTCTAAGAGCTAAACCAGGGCCACAATATCCCGTCCCCGTCCCCGGGGCGTACGCCTCGCAGCTCACTTTGCTGAGCTGCACTCTTCAAAGGCACCGACTTTCCCCACCACTCCTGGGGCCGCCTAGGGTGGTGCCCAGGGCCAGCAGCCCGCCCGCCTGCCCGGGGGGCTCGGGCACTCTGGGCTCCCGCGCCTCGGCTGGCGCGCCCCCGGCCTGGCACGCATGCCCAGCCGGCGTACCCAGCGGCATGCCGATGCCGTAGCCCTTGGTGTCGAGGAGGCCCCCGATCTGGGTGAGGTTGCAGTTGAGGCGCCGGTGGTACTCGTTCATGGTGGACTCCAGCAGGAAGGCGTAGCGGGAGTTGAGCACGCGGGCGATGCCCTCCTCCGTGCTCTTGACGAACACGCTGGGCTGCTTGGACTGCATGTAGTTCCACATGCGCTGGTACGTCTGGTACCGCGAGTTCTGGGCAGCGGGCAGGAAGAAGACCGTGAGGCCGCTGCCCCCGGCCCCGCTCGGGGAGGCCGCTGCCCGATGCCTGCTGC